CTCATATTTCCGGGTAGAAGTACTATTCGCCCAGGATTGGTTTTTGTAGCTGAACCTAGGTAGAACCTTTTCGCCTATGGGGATCCAGCTCATAGTTTCCGGGTAGAAGTACTATTCACCCAGGATTGTTTTTCGTAGCTTAACCCAAGTAGAACCTTTTCGCCTAAGGGGATCCAGCTCATAGTTTCTGGGTAGAAATACTATTCGCCCAGGATTGGTTTTTGTAGCTTAACCCATGTAGAACCTTTTCACCTAGGGGGATCCAGCTCATAGTTCCGGGTAGAAGTACTTTTTTCCTAGGGTTACTTTTCGTAGCTTAACCCAGGTAGAACCTTTTCTCCTAGGGGGATCCAATTCATAGTTCCGGGTAGAAGTACTCTTCGCCCAGGTTATTTTACGTAGCTCAACCCAGGTTGAACATTTTCACTTAGGGGGATCCAGCTCATAGTTCCGGGTAGAAGTACTCTTCGCTCAGGTTGTTTTACGTAGCTTAACCCAGGTAGAACCTTTTTCGCCTAGGGGAATCCAGCTCATAGTTCCGGGTAGAAGTACTCTTCGCTCAGGTTGTTTTACGTAGCTTAACCCAGGTAGAACCTTTTTCGCCTAGGGGAATCCAGCTCATAGTTCCGGGTAGAAGTACTCTTCGCTCATGTTGTTTTACATTAGTTTAACTCGGGTAGAAACTTTTTGTCTAGGGGGATACAACTCATATTCCGAGTAGAAGTACTATTCGCCCAGGTTTTCTTTTCATAGTTTAACCCAGGTAGACCCTTTTCTCCCCGGGGATTCATCATTTTTTCAGTAATACAGGGCGCCAACCCCTAGTTACATTTCCTTTTCAGTAACACAGGGCGCAAACCCCTGGTTACGTTTCTTTTTCAGTAATACAGGGCGCCAACCCCTGGTTACATTTTCCTTTTCAGTAATACAGGGCGCCAACCCTTGGTTATATTTTCTTTTTAGTAATACAGGGCGCCAACCCCTGGTTACATTTGCTTTTCAGTAATACAGAGCGCCAATCCCTGGTTACATTTCCTTCTTAGTACTACAGGACACCAACCCCTGGTTATATTTCCTTTTTAGTAATACAGGGCACCAAACCCTGGTTACATTTTCTTTTCAGTATAGGGTACACCAATCCCCGATCTCCTTACCGATATAGGCTACACCAATCCCTAGCTGTGTTATCCAACATAGGATACTTCATTCCCCAGTTGATTTGAGCTTAAATGCATGGTACACCACTCTCTGATATCATTGCCAATATAGGGTATCCCATTACCTTGCCATATTTTCCCAACATAAGGTACACCAATACTTAGTTGAGATATTCTTTTGGGATCATGACCTTTTTAGGGTACACTATTCCTTTTTTTTTATTTCTTTCAATAAAGAAGTAGTTTAGAATTTTGTTACAATAACTCACGAAATTTTCCTAGTGAAAACTGGGGCAGAAAAATTTTGTTCGTTTGTTTGTTGTGATGTCTGAGCAGGTTTTACCTCGAGGCATATGGTTCGAGCTGAACAAAAGAAGAAGTCTCAATCCAGAATAAAGAAAAGAAAAGGAAAAGAAGTGAATCCAAATGCAGAAGCAGATGGAAAGGAATATCGACTGCTCAAGACACGGCTGAAGTTACGAGCTTCACATTTTCCGTTTTGCTCAAAAGAAGCCGTAGAAGAATGAACTAGCACCTACAGCTAGCAAGCATCAAGGTTCAGATCAGAGTTGGCATGAACAACCGGTCAAGTTTCAAGATCAAGCTTCAAAAGACTTATAACAGGAATCTTGTAACTCATAGTTGATAGGCTTGTTTAGTTTCTTTCAATTTTGATGTAATAGCAAGACCACAGACCGAAGCCTCGACGAAACCTCACTCGACTCTCCAACTGATCATTCCATCACTTTCCTTGAACTACACGCGTCCTGATTCCCTTATAACCGGGGGATATGTAAGCTATCCAAAATCAAGACTCGGTTGCACTTTTTTCTTTTATTTTATTCCTCTTTTGAATAACGATATGGTCAAAACTTAGTCACACAGCTCACTTTATCTTTGCCTGAAAACTTTTAATGTATCCAAGCAAAGAGGGGCATGCTGTGAGCACCTAATTTTTTAATGTGCTTGAATATTTCTCGCTCACATCTTCCCACGCGTGTCCCCACTCTTTGTCCCCCACACGTGTCCCCACTCCACTTTTCCTTGTCCCCCGCGCTTGTCCCCCACGCTTTGTCCTCCACACTTTGTCTCTCACTCACAAAACCAGCCCCTATTTTCTGCTCAAAAGAGAAAGCAAAAATAGCCCTCAAACCGACCAGAAAATCAGCAGAAAACCCAACAGCAAAAACACACCAAAACCCATCCAAAACAGCCACAAATGCAGCTGAAAAAGCCACCCACCTCCAGCTCGTTTTCAGCCATAAAAAGCTGAAATTTCAGCTTGAAAATCGCAGCTAAAAATGCTGCTAAAAACAGCCACAAAAAAAAAACTTCAAAAACAGTCCACAACTACCCAAAAGCACTCAAAAAATGAACCTGAAATCACTCTTAAAACATAGCAAAATCAGCACCTAAAACAGGACAAAAACAGTTCCAAAACAACTCCATAAACTTCAGCGAAAATCAGTCCCAAAATCCAGCTGAAAGCGGACCATTAACCACCTTGAAAAGCCACCTAAGACTCACCCAAAATCCAGCTCGAAACAGCCATTAAAGCACCCCCGAACAGCCCCACTTTGAATGTAAACAGGGGGGTCGAAGTGGAGTTTGCGGTCGCCGTTGAGGTTTCGAGTTGCCGGTTCCGTCCGTCTCTGCCGGCGAAAGCACCGGTCAAGAATCGTCGAGTTGTTTAACCTCTTGTAATTCCAATTTCGTTGATTTATACCAAAGGTCCGTTCTTTCTATTCTTTTACTACTTTGTTCTAATAATTATCATGTTTCCTTACTTTGTTGTTTGGGTTAGTGTTCAATCCATCTCCAATTTTGTTCTTTTATTCTGTTTTACTACTTTGAGTTATTGCCTTCTTCTTTTTTTCTTTTCATGTATATGTTTTGTTTAGTGACTACACGAGACTATACTACTGTTTCCTTTGATTTTTTTTATTGAAATGCTGATTGGTTTATTAGCTTTGATTTCTTATGCAAGGACGTTTTTGTTCTAATGCAAATATCTGGGAAGCAAGAAAGTTGCTAGGAATACATTTAAGGTTCGGGCTTTTTATATTGATTATGGGTTTAACCTTGAAGAGAAAGAAATTTTGGGCCTATAAGCTGAAATTATGCCAAGCCCATTTCCATATGTCATGTTGTTGATCCATTTTTAGAGTTAGCCCATTTGCATGGCAATCTAGAAGCTAGCCTCCATTTTTTTTTTTTGTAATTAATCTACTTGATGCTCTCAAATTAGTTTAGAAAAAATCATTCATGAATATTCGTAGGATGCTTTAGGCGCGATTAATTTATTGTCGTGATTGTGTAAAATGTTCGCATGACATGATTTTGGCACAATAAACAAAACGGATTCATACATATGATTCGTTTCAAAGATAATTCCATATTTTAAAAGTCGATAGATAAAACATGGAAACCAATAAATCACAGTTTATCCAAAATTAATTCAAGCCACGTTGTAGTCAATAAAGCGACCGTGCTAGAACCACGGGACTCGGGGAATGCCTTACACCTTCTCCCCGATCAACAGAATTCCTTACCCGGACATTGTTTTACAGACCAATAATAAAAGAGTCAAATCTTCCTTTGACTAGAGATTCAAACAAAAGATGACTTGGAACACCCAAAAAATCAATTCCAAGTGGCGACTCTTTAAATAAAATAATCTCTATTCAAGTTTGTCACTTTAATTGGAGAAACTCTTTAACCCACTATCCATAATGCATAACACATTTATCTTTTGGGGGTAGAAAAGGGGCGTGACACCTAGTATCCAGAATTACTCAAATACAATATTGAAAATAATATGGAAATTAAGCCTAACGTAAGGATAGAGTAATTAAAAAGTAAGGAGATTGCTTGGGAGAAGATTAGTCTCCTATTTGGCCATAAATTTTTGTTTTATTTTTTTAAGAAAAAATTTAAAAATATTGTTTGTTTATGAAATATGATCATGTTTTGAAAAAAAAAATATTTCAATAATTTTCAAGTTCTCAAAAACTTGGTTTAGGGTAGTTTTTGGATAAAAAATTTTCTTTCACTCATAAAACTTTAACTTTTCTTCAAATAAAATACATGTTTAAACACAATTTTAACTTTAAAAAATATTTTTTCTAACACAATTTAAAAACTCTTTTTAGTTTCAATCAAATCTTTTTCTAGCTAGGAATCTTGTTAGTTAATCCAAGAATTCGAGGCAGTTGGAAGTCTATTAGACTCTCAACCTTATCTCTCGTTTGTCTGGTATGAATACGTGACCGAGTACGTGTGTATAGGACCATTACTACTTTAAATGGCTTGGACCACAAAGGCGTGTTTTCTAATGAGCCTAGAATACTCGCCAACAACAATAACGGCTTTTTCTACTCTTTTTTATTTTCTTTGATGACGAATCCAAGACCCTAAAGTTGTAAATGGGATACTGACCATTTGAATAACCTCCTTTGTTGCTTCTTCTACTTTACGTGTCAAAGTTTGAATAGGTATGAAATTTTAAAAACAAATAACTTTTGAAACTTATGGTATGATATCGAATAAACCGTAGATATTTTGGTGATTATAAATTATCTCATTACAGATAAAAATAAAAGTTTAAAGTTAAATTATTAACAATTACGAACAAATTATTATTATTTTTTGAAACAGACTAAATATAAAATATTGCCACATAAACGGAGAGAATATATTTTAGTCTTATAAGTTTGGGTGACTAGCTATATATATCCTCACTTCTCCAGCTCAATTATAATTCTAATATTATAATAATATTAAAAGTTCTCTATCAAGAATAAAATATATTTTCAACTAATATAAATATTATCTTTATGGATCTTTCTCTTTCATTATGTCCCGCCTTTAGTTAAGTCTTTGTTGTCTTGCTTTTAAGAAGCTTTTTCTCCTCTCCGTGACACTACTAAACGTTCCTCAATTAAGAAGTTACAATATGGAGAAAATTTTGAAGAAGCATTTCGTTCTAGTTCATGGATTTTGCCTTGGCGCTTGGTGCTGGTACAAACTTGTCAACCTTTTGCAAAAGGCTGATCACAAAGTTTCTTCTTTAGACCTTGGTGCTTCTGGGGTTAATATGAAACAACTCAAAGAAATTGTTTCGATATCAGATTACGTTAAGCCATTGATAGATTTTATGGTCTCTTTGCCTCATGATGAAAAGGTTATTTTGGTGGGTCATAGTTATGGGGGCCTTTGCATTTCTCTTGCAATGGAAGCTTTCCCTCAGAAAATCTCAGCAGCAGTTTTCATTACTGCTTATATGCCCAATCATAAAGATCCGCCTGCACTTCTTATTCAAGAGGTATTTTGCATTCATTTTGAGTTTAAACCTTGTAGTACTATTATAAAATGTAAATATTAGTTTAGGAGACTTAGTGTTTTATTCTTAGCGAAAATGGATTTGCAGCAATCACTTGTGTCACTTGCAGTGGGGAATTCTCATGAAGCAAATGATTCCCTTTGTTCACAGCTTAAAAATCTCCTAGATGCAAAAAATTCCTTTGAACTTTAGCCGTTCTATTATGATGGAAAGCCTCTTCGTAAATACCTTAACGGTGTTTTTATATAGGATAGCTCTAGACAATTGAGGCTTGCTCAGATGGTCAAAGTAACTCCACCCACGACCGTTGGGTCCTGAGTTCGAGTCACGCTGGAGGGAAGTGTGAAAACACTATAGATCGTACGGGGGTTTGAAAAAATAAAATAAAATATAGGATAGCTCTAGAGTCTTACGCGGAGGAATAATTAATAATAGGATCGCGGGCCATCTAATATTCCTTATGGGCGGATCCACCTAATAATATTTTTAATTTCTATATAGTATAAAGTTTTTATACTATTAGATCACGTAAGAATAGTTTCAAATAACCTACAATAAGTGGAAGTAATATGAAAAATAAGACAGTAACTTTTTACATGTTAAACTACATTTCTTATTCAAGAGGCATTTTACATGTCTATTGTTTTACAGTCTATCATGTCAAAAGAAGGTAGTTATAGATAACCATCAATGAGACTAGTAATCGAAAAAAGTGAAAAGAGTAATTTGTTACAACATTTAAAATACACTTCTTATTCAAGATTATTTTACATGTCTATCTTTTCTAGGGAAATTTCATGCATATTCTTTTCTTGCTTTATAATTGATGAATGAAATATTGTTGATTTTGTTTTTCGCCAAATTTTTGGGGTTACATTGCAGTTCTTTAGGAGGACTTCAATGGAGTCACTCATAGATTGTCATTTGACATTCGACCAAGGAATGGAAAATCCACCAACATCAGCTATTTTTGGCTCACAATACATGCAAGCTAACCTTTACAAACATTGCCAAACAGAGGTTATTTTCTTAATTGTCTACTATGTACATGCATTTGCTTTAATTTTAAGGATTTAATGCCTGTCCTTCTTAACTTGATTTAACTTTTATACTAAAATAATAATATAAAAAAAAATACGCTATCAATAATTTTTTCTGTGAAAGTATTCCATTTATTTTATTTTCTAAATTATCACATTAGACTTATTATAGATAATTACATTTTCTTGTATGCTATTTTAATTGGTACAACGATAATAACAAAGTCTCAGTCCCAATCGAATTGAAAATCGACTATATGAATCCTCACTACTTTCTTTTAAATTTAACTCATATCATCATGTTAGTTTAATTGATGTAGTAAAATTAATTTGTACTATTAATGCACATATATTAAACATATACGAGAATAACCTATCGATGACTATATGATGCATTGCAACAAAAAACGTGTCGCTGTTATTACTCCTATGGCCCGTTTGATATGAGGGATAAGAGATAATTAATTCCGGGATTAAATTTGAGATGAGCTTATCCCATGTTTGTTGGAATAAAATCGTGGTATAATTATTCCTAAGATTAGTTATTCCGAGATTGTAGTGTTTTTTAATCCCTATAAGAGGATAAAATAACAAATTCCACGATAACTAATCTCGATATAATTAATTATGGGACAACTTATTTCCCAACGAAACTGACCCCTCGTACAACTGATAGAGAAGTGGGAATCTAACGACCGATACTAACTACGTACGACAATGTTTTGAGAAATTGACATTCACTAATCAGGCAAAGAGAGACACCCCTCAAATGCTAAGAATTTATTAATGCTGAATTTGCTACTATTGACAAACTCATGGAGCCGGGTCAGCTTCTTGTAATTGCATGCATTATACGAAGGACGAAGCTAGAGTGTCGGTTACGACTTACGAGTTCGATCGAACCCAAATAATTTTTCAGATCATATGTATCTTTAATCAATCTTTTAAATGCTGTTGATGTCTCAAACTAAAAATAAAACAAATGGTTAGGAAGAATTAAACTGTTCTTTCTTTCTTTCTGTAAAACCTTTTACTTCTCTCATTTTATGTGACACAATTACTATTTAAAAAGTTAAAAAAGTTTTTCTTTGGTAGTAATTTTTTTATATGCTTTTTAAATATTTTAAAATGTTAATTATTGTGACTTATAGAACTTTATATATATTTTTAAATATATAAATTTTATTTTAAAGAATTCGAAGATTTTAAGTCCGAAGTCACATCGAAAATTAGATATTTTTAAGCCTGTACTACGAATTGTGTCATTGTCACATAAAGTCTGGACGGAGGAAGTAGCTATTTATATACCAGTATATGAAGAAGATATCAGTGTAATTTCTGAAATTTTAAAGGTTGCATGTAGCTAAAAATTTAAAATTTTCTTGAGAGACTTGCTATTTTGTCAACTCAGGACTTGGAATTGGCAAAAATGTTGATAAGACCAGGTAAGTTTTTCACAGAAGATATGTCAAAGGAAGGGCTGCTGACACAAGAGAAATATGGGTCGGTGAGAAGAGTTTACGTGTTGTGCCAAGATGATTCAATCATGGAAGAAGAATTCCAAATATATAATATTCAGAAGAGCCCTCCAAATGAAGTCAAATCCATTGCCAAAGCTGGCCATATGGTCATGATATCCCAACCTAAGAAGCTTTCTCTCTGTCTGCAGGAAATTGCTGACAATTATCATTGAATTAACTTTTTTTAAATACCCTTATAGTGAGTATAAAGTTTTAAATTTTCTTTTTCAAAAAGTAAGTTCCAAAAATTAAATAAATGTTGATCATATTTAATTAGCTCAATGAAAAAAAAAATGTATCATTCCTCATATAGGTCTTCAATGCCTTTATTGTAATTAAAGTATATAGATTATATATTAATTTTCCTTCTTGCTAAAAAAAGAGAATGAGAAAATAGTATGATTGTATTTTCTTGCTGATGATGCAGTATATTTTGAGTATTGGATGTGTGAACAAAAGTCCCACATTGGTAGCTGAAAAGATTGGGAGCCTACATGTAAGGTGTAGGGATCTCTTAATGGTGCGAGGCATTTTGGGGAAAACCGTACGGGCTTAGCCCAAAGCGGACAATATCACACTATGTTAAGAGTGTCTTTGGACTGGTTGAGCCCAACAACGGGTATCAGAGCCCAGGTTAGGCGGGACGAGTATGGAGATCGCTGAAGTGATGGTGCGGGGCGCTGTGCACTAGAAGAAGAAGCTAGTTGCGGGATTCGGTTGCCATAATACTCTAACAATGTGGGTGGCTATAACGATCCGAATGGTCGTTTTGAGTATTGTAGCCTCGTTCCCCTATTTATCATTTCTTCTATGTTAATTTGTGGTTATGTAACTTACCGGGATGCTTGGTTTGGCTTCGGGTGAGTTTCGGAGTGAATTAAGACACTTAGTCCCAAGGTTGAAAGCTTAAGTAGGAAGAGTTGATGGGGTTTTATTTTTGTGTAGACGACTCCAGAATGAAGTTTTGATAGTTCCAATAGTTTCGTATGGTGATTTTGGATTTAAGCGTATGGCCGGATGTTGAATTAGAGGTTTGTTGGTTGCTTTGGTGCCTTTTGGCGGAAGTTAGAAAGTAGAAGGTTTGGAAGGTTGATAGGTTTGATCGAAAGTTGACTATATCGATATCGACTTCGGATTACGGTTCCGAGAGTTCGTATAAGTCCGTTGTGTCATTTTGGACTTACACACAAAATTTGAGCTCATTCGTAGTTGGTTTGATGTGATTCAGCATTAGTTCTAGAAGTTGAATATTCATTGATTCAATAGGCTTAAATTGGGGTGCGATTAGTAGATTTGATGTTGTTTGATGTGATTTAAGGTCTCGAGTAGGTTCGTGTTATATTTTAAAACTTGATGGTATATTCAGACGGGGTCCCTGGGGCCCGGGTGTGTATCGGTTTGAGTTTAGACCTTTTGGCACTTAGAAGGAATTGATGAGAATGCTAGAGTCTGGTGCAATTGCACCTGCGATAGTTGGGCTGCAGGTGCGGCACCGCAAAAGCGGCATCTGAGCCGCAGATGCAAGATTTGGGCTGGGAAGCTGGGTTCACAAGTGCGGACGATCGTGTGCAGGTGCGCAATCGCAGATGCGGATTTCTTCCGCAGAAGCGGAATTTGGTTTGTTGACTTAAAATTGCAGGTGCAGTCATTTTTCACAGAAGCGGAAGCCCAAATGCGCCCTATCTTCACAAAAGCGAAAATTGCTGGGTTTTAGTGTAGTTGCGTCTATGATGATATTTATGCAGATGCGGAGTCGCGGATGCGACAATTTGAGCACAGAAGCGGAAGGCTTGGGTAGAAGAAGGATTGAAACGAAGGTTTATTTTATTTTCCACATTTTGAGTTAGAGAGCTCGGTTTCGGGCTATTTTGGAGGGAATTTTTAAGATTGGATCGGGATAGGTGTTTTTGACTCAGATTTGTTTATTATTAATGATTTCATCATTGTTTTTATCATTTAATTAGTGATTTGATTTGGAAAAATTAGGAATTTTTTTAAAAATAATTCTAAACCATAATTTAGGGATTTGAAGATCGATTTGAGGTCAGAATTGGATAATTTTTGTATGGTTGGTGTAACGATCCGACCGGTCATTTTGAGTATCACATTCCCGTTCCTCCATTTACTACTCAATTTATGCCTTACAGTTGATTTATGACTTATCGGGCTAGTTGGTTCGGGCCCGAAAGGATTTCGGAGTGAAATAAGACACTTAGTCTCATAATTGAAAACTTAAGTTGGAAAAGTTGACCGGCTATTCACTTATATGTAAACGACTTCGGAATTGAATTCTGATGATTCCAATAGCTCCGTATAGTTATTTTGGACTTAGGAGCGTGTTCGAAAAATTATTTGGAAGTCTGTAGTAGAATTAGGATTGAAATGACAAAAGTTAAATTTTTGGAAAGTTTGACCGGGGGATTGACTTTTTGATATCAGGGTTGGAATACGATTTCGGAAATTGGAATAGGTCCGTTATGTCATATATGACTTGTGTGCAAAATTTGAGGTCAATCGGACTTGAATCGATAGGTTTCGGCATCGAATGTAGAAGTTGGAAATTTCATAATAGACTAAAGTTTCAAGTGAGTTCGCACAAGACCTAACTATAAATGAGCATAACTCTCATGATACAAAGTGTTATATGGTGTATTACCTATAAAATAAAATATCTTTGAGTCTAGTTACTAACGCTTCAAACCGTTCGTCATTTTGACATTCCTACAAGAAGTTATGACCAAATTATCAAAGGCTGGAAAAAATGAGATTATGCGACAATTTTGCGATCGCGAAAGTGCTTCTGCGACCGCAAACTGGTCGCAGAATGGACCAGAACAGTCCAGTTCTGGGCACCGATTTTTGCGATCATTTTGCGACCCGCATACCTATTCTGCGATCCATTATGCGACTGCAGACCTGCTTTCGGAGGGTTAATTTTTCTATATTTATAACCCGACCCCATTTTAATAAATAGGCTTGGGGACTCATTTTGGAGCAAAAAACTGACATTTTTAGAGAGAAAGGAGAGTGTTCTCGAGAGAGGAAGAAGCTAAAGTGCTTTGTTCATCAAGATCTTGTTCAAGCTTTAAAATCCAACAAGAAAATATCACAAGATCTTAACCCAAGAGGTAAAGTTCTAACCTCTGGTCTTCAATTTTGAGTTTGGGTAAAGATGGGTGATTAAGAGTATGATTCTTGGGTGTAATAGTATTATTTATACATATCAATAAAGTTTTATGGAAAGATTGTTGAGTTCAGATGGGTAAAGATTGGGTTGAAAATGGTAAAAATCTTCAATGACTTTAATTGAAGATTTGAGGGTCGAGTTGATGTCGGAATTTGGTGAAATTTGTATGGTTGGATGGGCATTCATATTTTGTAACTTTTGTCGGGTTCCGAGACGTGGGCCCCACGGGCGATTTTTAAATGTAATTTCGGATTTTGTGGAAAAATTAGTATTTTGATATGGAATAAATTCCTATAATTTGGGTTGACTGAATCAAATTAATTGTGACTAGATTCGAGCCGTTCGGAAGTTGTTATGCACAGAATGGAATTTCTGGAGCATTGTTTAGCTTTCTCGACATTGGATTCGGCTTGTTCGAGGTAAGTAACACTTCTAATCTTGGAGCTGAAGGTATGAACACTGAATATATGTATTATGTGAATTTTTGGGAGGTGACGCACATGCTAGGTGATGGGCATGTGGGCGTGCACCATGAAAATTGTGACATAATTATTTTCGTGGAATTTTGTAGTCAAATAATCTTGGCATTTTCTATGTAGTTTTATGTTAAAGAAATTGAGCTGAGAATCATATTAAAAATTATGTTGAGGCTATGTGCCAGTATTATTGGGACCCACATAGGTCATATTGGTGTGAATTATTTGTTTTAAATTGAAAATTCATACTCAATCATAATCATGTCATTACATATCATATCTCAGTCTCTGTTGTTATTTATTGATACATCATATCATCATTTTCGAGCTATATTTATGACATTGTGAGCCCATGAGAGAGAGACTGGAGAGATTGATGACTGAGTGAGGCAGAGGGCCTGATTGTAAGGATAATTATGGGATCGGGCTGCACGCCGCAGCAGGCCATATTGGCTTTATATACTTTATTATTATGTGGATCGGGGCTGCTCGCCTGTAGCAGGCCTTATAGGCTTTATTATAGCACGTGAGTTGTCCATGCAGATACAGATATTGATACTAT